AGTACTAGTATAGCAATATAATTTAATAGTTGACGAAAATTAGTTTAAGAAGTTTTAAGATTTTCTTCTCTTTAACTTCTTTTTTTCATTCTTTACTTTCAATATTTTGATGAATTTTAATTATTCACTTTTTAATGATATATACAGAATAAAGTGAGGACATTCGTTAAGTGTCAAATGTGTATTTGAGCATTTTAATCTTATGTACCAGTTTGTAAATTTAACAAATCGAGAGTTTGAGATTTAAATCATTTATCACATAAATACAAAAGAAATACTTTTAATATAAGAAAATCCTTTTTAATATTTAAAACTCTAATGTTTGTATTTTTACACACTAAATAATTAAGCATTAAATTTTTATAAATAATTACAAAATAATGGATGACATCATAACATAAAATTTCATTTAATAAGTAAATCATAAAGAAACTCCCTTCTCAGACATATCGTAAATTAAATACACACATGGTTAATATAGAAATAGATCTCATTACTATTAGCTCGTAATTACATTTACTATCACATTGTAAGAATTAAGTGCCGCTATCAAATTATGTCAATGATAAACTGTTAAAAGCATTTGGATATTATTTAATTAACACAATTTTTATCAAAGTCCACTGCAACGAGACAATATCGGCTGTTATGTGTTATTCATTAACGAACACCAGTTGCTCTTCTCTTTAATTAGTGTAGAATCTGTTTTATCTGTTCATCAAACTCGCCAATTTTATTTTAACCAAATTTTAATGAAACAACAAAATACACTATTTGAAATCTGAGGTGAGGTGTAGTGCAATTGTCAATATTTTGTTGCTAGTGCAACTGCACAAATCGTCGACGTCTCGTGCAAGTGTGCGGGTGTGTATGTGTGCTCTACGGTGGATTCCGAGCAGTGCGCTGAAATTCACCGTAGTTTCTCTTTACGCGAAGTAACGGACGTCGCAATTTTAATTGATTAAATAAATGCACAAATTTAATAAATAAATTTTACATAAAAACAATTTATTTTTCCGTAGTTCAAATATTTATTTATGGTAAGTTAATTTCGATACAGCAACAATGTGTATACAAATTGCTATACATAGATTTTGGGTATAAAATAACAGACTAGTCATCGTCTGGCCGCTGGCTTAAATGAATACATACATTTACGTGTGTATAAACGTATTTTTATGAATATGGGAATATTAATGAAATTTCTTAATTTGTCCATGTGTGCAAATAAACTTAGTTTGGAGAAAAAAAGCCAATTAAGTGTAGTATATGGGTCTGTAAATAAAATATGCAGTATTATAATATGCAAAAAGTGTGCTAAATTGTCTGCACAAAAATACGTACATACATGTGTATATCAAATAATTACATCAGCATCATTTA